GTGTGTGTGTGTGTGTGTGTGTGTGTGTGTGTGTGTGTGTGTGTGTGTGTGTGTGCAATATTTGTGGGTGAAGATACCTCATCAGATGAAGTAGGGGGTCGTTTTATCTTGGAGGGGGGGTGGGACAGGAAATGTAACTGACAATGAACCTCAGTGTCTGCTCATGCAAACATCAATGTCCTCTTCTTCTGCCTGAAGGGAATTTTGAAAAAAATATTAAATTTTTTTCAATAATTGGTCTTAAAATGTAATTTGAAATTGATATACCCCCAGAGCCTTTTGGGTGAAAAAACAAAAAAGAATAGCCTACATCAGGGGGTCAAAATGAAGCTATAAATCAAATTAAATATTGGGATGAGCACTATAAAAATCAAACATACCTAAATTATTTTAGAGTGAACATTTGTAGCCTTAACACTTAAGCAAACAAGGAGGAGCATGAACTTTTCATTGTTTTCACCTCTTTACCATTTTGTCTCAATTTCTGTCTTGCAATTTCTACTAAATGCACAGCTAATGTCATAATTCTCAACTGTTATTCCAATTTGATTTATGAACACAGTTAGCTTTTTTGTTTATAAACATTGTTGGATATAAAATATAATTTCACAGCATGACATTTATAGATTTAGCTTGAAACAATGTGCATAGATGCTGTTTACAACACAATTTATCAGTATTTGTATAAATTCCAGTCAACATAATTATTCTATACAGCTTTTATGAAGTCCTATAATGACTGAACAATGGTTCAGAATCAAAACAATAAAAATACATTATTTTGTGAGGATAAGCTGTATTCTTGCAATGTGATCATTTATAGAAATACAAAATACTTCCAAGAATGACAATTGAATAATAATAGATTTTTCAGTTTAAACTCTGCTGGAAAAAACTAACTTAGAACTAGTTTTTGTTCTTCCATTAATTAATCAGTCCACATATCCATCCATGCTGGTTTCCTGAAAAGAAATAACTGAACCCAGCTCTTTCAACTAACTATCACTAACTACCAACTTTTCACCTTCAACATATCCTGGGCAGCCTTTTCTTTATGTGTTTGGTTGTCATCAAGCCATTTGACATCCAGTCAGTTGACAAGCTTTTTTTTTAATTTTAGGGTTTTTGTGTAGAGAAGCAAAAACATCCAGAAGACGATGGTCTTTAGCAGTACAAACTGATGTCTTGGTAAAAGAAACATAAAAATCCCTTAGTTTGCAGAAAACCAGCTACATTACCCAATAAGTAAAGGTCAAGATCTAATGAAATTCTATGATTTTCATTCTTCGCACCTGGAGGAATTCAGGTACTGCTCTTCTCCTGCCGCCGTCTCAACAGTTAAGCATGGTGTTGGGAGTTTCACTCTTTTGATTGATTCTGGGGTCACTCAGAGTCAGAGTTTAAAAGAGAGTTTAACAAAGATGCTTGTGATAATAGAAAAATCTGCCTAATCGCCCTCAGGAATTCGTTCTTCTCTGATCATCCATCATCTTGACACCAGGTACACAAGCAAAACAGAACTGGGAATAATCATGAGTCATGCAGTTAAAGTCTTGACATTTGTCTTATCTAACATCCCTGAAGACACTTAACAGCGTCTATAACTGTGCACTAACAATTTGTGCCAAACTTGACAGAACTTTAGAAAATGTACAGACGTTGGTAGATCCTCAAATCCAGGTGTGCAGAGAGTTTCATCTCCAACCAAAACAAACCCAGGGCTCTCAAAGGTTATCTATACATTGCTTGTTGTTACCTGTCTTATGTAAAATTAGCACAAACAGTTCAGACAGACAGGCCGGACAGGAAATTAGGAAACGTTTCAGCATTTATTTCACCCCTTCTCGATGGAAATAAAAACACTTACCATATCCTCACCAGAGGGGCCCCAGAGAATATGACCAAGCTGTTAGATAGCTTCAAATGCTGCTCGAGTCTCACACAAACAATGTTTAATGATTTCCTCTCTAAAACATACAGATGTGGGCAGACAAGGCCTTATAAAAGCTTTGCAGATAGTGCTAATGGAGCGTGGTTGTTAATGGGCCAGCTGTACTTTCATTGATAAATGAGGCTTATCGTACTCAGAGCACCAAGGATTTGTTACACTTTTCCCACTCTTTGATTCAGCTACAGATAACACCCTAATGATCCGTGGTATTTCTGTGGCCTACCATGCATGTTGTACTATGGCAACATGTGGGGAAATTGTTTCAGCTCTGGAAGTACACTTCACTCATCCATTTTCTTTACCCACTTCACCTTTCTGGATCACAGGCAGCTGGTGTCTAAATCCAGAAGTGGGAGAGGTGAGGTTCACCCTACACAGGTCCAGGGATGGTCAGTGGCATAGACAGGCAAATGCTTCTGTCCATCTAGGGGTGCCACAAATGGGGGACAAATAAAAATTATATAACTTTTAATTAGAATATAGTTGATGTAATCTCAAAGCTTTTTATTCTAAACTTCAAAAAGTATTGAAAAAAAATTTTACATTAAAACACTAAAACTTAAAAAAAACATTGTTGTGCACTAACAGCCATAGGAGATAATAATTTATGTAATGTGACATCTTTAATAAAATTAAAAAATATGACATATTGGTGACGTGTCTTTTTTCTCCCATATTCAGGTTTTTTTTTTTTTAGATCTTGACACCCTAAAGCCCCATCTCCGTGGTCAAGTCTCACTCTATTTGGTTCTGGTCTGTTTGGTTCAGTGTGTCCCTCACTCTGTGGGCAGATTGTCAGCATGCAGCTTCATTTGTGGTAAAAAAAAAAAAAAAAAAGTTGTGTTTTTTTATAAAATGCCATTGTAGTTTTATTGTTCGGTAGTCCAGCTTTATTTTTTATTTATTTGTTTGTTTTTGTCACGGTGCTGTTATTAAGTGGTTGTATAACCATGGGTGGCCAGGGTTAAATGTTCTGCCTGTCCCTAGATCACCAACAAGGTTTGCACCTCCAGGTTAGGGCATGGTTTTATCACTGCTTTTGCCATGTTGTTGTGTCTCACATTCGGATTCCAAAACAAAAGTGTCACTCTCCAGCAGGAAGTTTGCAGGATAGGTTTGCACAAGTAACACCTTGTCTCTGTCAATCAATCCAAGAGCCTATCCACAGACAGCAGTCTGCTGAAGTCAAAATTGTAAGTGTGCAGTACCCAGTTCCACCAAGTTAGAACCATCTCATGGTGATTCTGATTGTGCAGTTGTGCACGGTTGGAACCGGAAATGGAGACACACTTGGCCGAGGCTGAACCAAGGAGAATTGCAGACAGCTGGTGGAGAGGGGGCTTATGTATGTATACCCCTGGACACCCCCCCCCCCCCCCCCCCCCCCCCCCCCCCCCCCAGAACTGCTTCCCTTGACGTCACTTTTTAACATGAACAGGTGATCCTCATT